TAACATTTTGATTGTCATTATTTTCTCTTCAAGTTACATGTGCTATCCATTTTAGTTGTTGCCAGTGTTGGAAGTCTTCAGGTGATGTAGTTTCCGTTATTTGGTACAGTTCTTTGTTTGTGATTATGCAGCGCCAGTCTGCAATGTTCAAAGAAGGATGACTTTTGTGAAGACCTTCAGGCTTTACTCGTTCAAAGCCTTTTTTCACCATTGATCTTAGGAAGAGGTTGTATACAGCTGACAGTTTAGATATTTCTGAACAGGTTTGGCATCATGAATGACATCCATATGAAAGTGTCTGATGAGGCTATTTAAGAATATTGGAGTTTAATGTGGGATTTTGGAAACGCCATACAAAAATTGCTGAAGTCTCACCACCACTTCCCCTTTTGGAAATACCAGGTGCCAGGAATAACTTCAATTCCCACCCAAAAGAGACGTACTGCTTAGAGGGATGGCTTTCTGGGGCCCAAACTGATATTAATTTCAACTTGGCTGGCATAAAAAAAAACATATCAATATTTTTTAATGGCTATTTAAAAAATGTTTCCTGCTTTCTTACGGGCTGCAGAAAATAATAATAATAATAACATGGCTTGTGGGCTCACTCTCTCGATAAAAGCAAACTTTTTTGAACATATGATGTGTGTCATCAATTGTCTGTTCATCTCCACACAACACAATTGGTAAAAGGAAAGGAGATATGAATGAATAGTTTACAAAAGCAAAACAAAAAGAGACGTAGGTGAAAAGAGAGGGTGGGATAGAGACAAAAGAAAGACATGGTTATTGTCTTGACGTTTGATCTTTTAAACTGAGTAAAGTATTGTAGGCTTACATCATGATGAAACACCAGTTTTTGTACGATCACTGAAGCTCTGTCAAGTTTGGTCAGTACGTAGATGGGTTACCACTATTGTACAACATAATCTCTTCCATTGGCTATATCATGGAGCTACAAAAGTAATGCTTCCTATTTATTTAAACAGAAACTATAGCAGATATAGGGAGCACAATAACACTGTTGGGTAAAGCAAGTTTTCAGCTACAAAACAATATTTTTCCACATCGTCACCTCCATTGGCTATTCATTTTTGCCAGCAGATACAACCCACTTTTTCACAGCAGTGATGCTGAAATGCATTACCCACCACCTAACTGTGCTCATATCCTTTGTTTGGTTTCTTGTTATCATCTAGGTGCAATTTTTTCTGTATAAAATCATTCAGTAACACACCTCTGCTTCTTGCATGCTTTTATGTCCAAGACCATTTTGTAAGACTGTTATCTGTAAAGAAAAATTATGGGTTATTGCTGATAAGATTCAACTTTTATTGCTATCCGCCTCTGATGTCATGAGGCAATTAAGTAAAATTGGAGGCATAAATTTTGGAGTGTACCTCACATTTTCAAAGTTCATTATAGCTTAGTTTATTTATCACATAGCTATAATAGTTGTGAATGGAGATGGTCAAACGCATTATGATGTGAATAATTTGCAACATAAGAGGCCATAAGCCTTTGTTCTTAGCTGATGGCATTCACTGCCATTAAATTTGCTAAATATATTTATATCTTAATTAGCTGTATCTGGCACAGGGCCAGTAATCTAGGACACAATTCAAGATCAAACATACTACAGCATGAGCAATGATGAATGAAATATTCCCCCTTAAGAATCCAAACTAATGATGATGATGGTGGTAATGATAGTAGTAGTAGTGGTAGTAATGATAATATCAGTAGTAATAGTTACCCGAGGGAAGGATGTGTGGGTGGTTTGGATAGTGGCTCAGAAAGAAAGAGAGGTGAGTTCAAATTTCAGCTGGGTTCATTATATTCATTTCTGTACACATGCCCTGGGGAAAGGTATGGATCTATCTCTCCCCTTCTCGCTATGGGTTAAATAGTAGGACTTGTATCGGGGGAAAAAAAATCATTGTTATTCTGAAAGAGAAAATGCTAATACAATATTTACTTGCAAAAAAAAATGAGAAGAAAAGAATTACAATCCAAAATATATTTCAATTTTGAAATAGAAGTAGCTAGGTTCATCTATCACTTGGTTCATACGCCTCCCCAGTCTTTTGAACAAGAGTAGAGGTTTATCCCTTATTTCATGTTTAGGACTGGGATTCCGGCTCCTCCTAAAGTCTACTTTAACTCTATACTTTTAATATCTCAGCCTAAACTCTGAAATTTTATTTACTATTTATTAATTTTTCCTCAATAGGAGTAGACAGGTTCACCTATTGTCCGGTTCACACTCCTCCCCTGTCTTTTAAACATGAGTAGAGGTTTAGTGCTTGTTTCCCGTTTAATATTGGTTTTCCGGTTCCCTCTCTAAAGTTTTTTTCATTTTCTTTCACTCCCAGTAGCCTCTTATGTCTTAGTGGCATTATCACCTTGCTTTGGGTGAATTGATGTCAAAAATTAGTAAAAAAAAAAAACAATCAGTTAATTAATACCTGAGGGAAAGTTTCTTTCTCGGTGATGAACTAAAAAAAACTAAAAAGTTTATAAAAATACCTTTTTTTTCTTAATATGTATTTTTATTTTTAAATAAATATTTATTTGTTAGATTTTTTTGGGGGGTGGGGGCATGTTTTACTAAAAAAAAGTATGAAACCAATCCTAATTTTCACGCTTTTCTCAAAAATTTATTAAATTAGGCAGTGGAATAGAAAGATTCCCAAATTTTAGTTGTAGTTAAAAAGAAACGACAAAAAAAACAAAAAAAAAAAAACATTTTACCCCTGTCCAGGAATCAATGAACCTCTTGCGTTGCGTTTTACCACTGACCTTTGCACGCAAATAATCGCTATCGTTTACCCGTTATAGACCCTAAGTTTTTTTTTAAATTTTTTAATAATTTATTTGTGTATTAATGCTTATTCTTTTATTTGCCACAGCTAATGTTTAATATTATATCTAATATTGTTAATAATAATAATAACAAAAATGTTGGGTTGAGGCTTGAACTCCCAACTCGATATTAGGGAGTTTTTGAAAACCTCGGAGTAGCCAAATTCAAATACTTTAATTAATTTCACGTATGGCTTAAAATTTATCTTTCTTTTTCTGTTTAAAAGAAAATCATCTTAATTCTAGAAGATTCAAATTTAATTTTTTAATCCTTAGTGTTTGTGTTGTTAATTTTGGGGGTAGTTAATGAAAACGGTGATAGAGGAAAACAAGTCTCCCCCGATAAATGTTTCCCTGATAATTTTTTTTCTAAGTACACTTTTACGTAAAAAAAAAGAAAAAGAAAATCAAAATGATTGATTTTATAATGTACTAACCCTTAGGTGATTATTCATCGATCCTCGAGATTAGGCATCTTTTATTTGATTGATCTGTCATCAAATATTTCTCTATAATATTGTTTCTTTTAAAAACACGATTATTTGACAACTAAAGGTGCACTTTTATTTGACAAGGCTTTCTTAAAAGAACCGTGGAGACACTTTCCTTTTCTTTCTCCACAAAATACTCTGTCCGTATGGAATCTGCTGTGGTTTTGAACCAAGGAAACAAAGTCTACCTTCACGGATTTTACATATTTTTTTCTCTCTCTCCCTGGTGAGTACAAATTGTTGGTGTAACTAGTGAAAGTGTAAGTAAACGAACCGTATTGTTTAGTTTTGAAAGGGATAGACTTGTATTTGCATTCATAAGTAATTTTTTAGGAAGTGGTAAATTATTTTCTCTTTTTGAAAAAGACTTGTGTTGACTGTGTCCCAACCAAAACACTAGGTTTTGTTCTTTTAATATATATATATTTATATTCTTTTATATATATATATATATATATAAAAAAAAAATCGTCACAAGTAATCCGAATCGAGACTCACTAACCTGGCTTTGAAATTGATATTGAACTTGAAGCCTTGTGGCTTTCAATCCAATGATCTATCATGAAGTTCATAATCTTTATAGATGTTTTTTTTTTTTTTTTTTTTTTTTGTATATTTGTGAATGAATGCATTTTTAGAAATTTTATTGGCGATATGAAACCTGTCTTATATTTGTAAAATCTGCACTTTAAGGAAGTGAAGAAAAGGGGGTGGGGGTGCTGACTTCACGGACAACTTAGAAAAACGACACATTTTTGGAAATGTCCATTTCAGGTTAATGGGGATATCACTAAGCTCAAATTTTTCTCAGTCTTTTAGGAAGTGTATGCATGGTTTTAAACAAATAAATTTACAATAACATTATGTGTGCGTGTTTTTTTTTATGCAAGAAGTCACTAAAATAAATCATGTTCTTTAAAGAAAATTAAAACTTAAGTAAATTTTTTTTTCTACTAAATTATTTATGAAGCTTAAGCATGCCTTGTAAAATTTAAGAATTTTAAAAGATCTTTGAATTTTTAAAGAAAACAAATAAAAGACAAACTAAAAACATTCTCTAGGAGAAAGCTTAATATTTGTGTGTGTATGTATATTATATGTTTTTTTTTTTATGTTGCGTGTTATCAATTGATTGTGCAGGCAAGGAGAACTGTAGTCATTGCATTGTAGGTTTTGTAACTGGGTTAATGTGTGAGTGAACCGGTTTAGAAATAGGTCAGTGCGTGTTCTATTGCATGTGAATGTAATTGTAATCGTGTATCGGTTTTTTTGTGTCCATTCTCTTTCTATGCGTATGTTGTAGACATGATGAGAGGTTTTCATTCACGTATCACTGTTAACCAAGAGAATCTTGTATCGGAGAGATAGTCAATTTAATATTATAGAAATAAGAAAAAAAGAAAAAAGAAGTCATTTTCAGATCATTGTATTTTGGACTAGCTTCGATTTTAACGCCCGGAAACGTTTTTTGCATACCAAATACTTCTTTTGATTTACCTGGCCTCATATTCGAAGCTCATTTTTTTTTCTAAATTAATAAACAAAAAGGTAATTCACTGTCAGATAAATTCTGTATTGTTGATCAGTAATTTTTACAGTTTCTAAAACGGAAATAAAACGAAATGGTAATTTTGTTTGCTATAGAATTATCTCTCTCTATGTACCTCTCTCTCTCTCTCTCTGTACCTCTCTCTCTCTCTCTCTGTACCTATCTCTATGTACCTCTCTCTCTCTGTACCTATCTCTATGTACCTCTACACCTTTCTCTCTACCTCTACCGCTCTCTCTACCTACAGAAAATTTAGACATATTTTATACCTGACCATGTCTTATTTTCAAATTTAAAAATGTGTGATTAGAATATGAGGCTAGATAAAACAATCTAAGGCAGATAATTCAGCATTTAGGATGCAAGAAACAATTCGGATGCTAAAATAAAATGGAAAGTATGTGAACAAACACCTGGAGATGGCCAAAAGGCATGAGTCAGTGTTATGGTGGGTGGGTGTTTGTGGTTGGTTTGGGTTTATGACAGAGGTAAGAATTAAAAAAAAAAGCCAAGAATGTTCAGAATATTTGCACATATTAGAACAACAATTATTTCACTTTGTTAGGAATCATATTATTATTGTATCTTTTTAAGAGCTTTGGACAGCATCCTTTTGTTTAATTTTATACTTTTTAATATAAAATTGAACATTGGAAAGTTGAACAAAAGTATAAATAAAGGTCTGAAGATACATTAATTACCATATTTGATGGTAGATAAGACACCCTCCCCCCATTTACATTTAATATTAGTATTCTGGAGTTAAGCCAGGTACAAATACTTGTTAATATAAGTATACTTGATACCTAACTTTTCATGTAAAGACTTTTTAGCACTTTTTAATTTTAATTTTTTTTCTTTAAGTGTGTGGAAGGAAATGGTGTAGTTTATTAGTATGCAAATCTTGCTTTAAAAACTAAGTGCCTTCTAAAATATCTTTACGTTTGAAGGTACATATCTTTAATAAAAAATCATTACACTTCTGTCAGATAGTATCTAACAAGTAGGGGCACTAGAGTAACCTCTTTTAAGTTAGCTAGTGTTTAAATATTTTAAAGGATATTTAAAAAAATATATCCTAAAAATTATAAAGTATTCATTTTTAGTGTAACACTTTTCATTGTTTAAAAAAAAAAATTAAAACAAATTTAGGTAATTTTTTTTTTTTTTTTACATTTTTCAGATTAAAAATGAATTTTTAAAATAAAAAACAGTTAAAATCCTCTACATAAATGTGTAAAATTGTTTTTTTTTTAACAATAAAAACAAAAACTACAAACCCTATAGTTGTATCAGACTGTTTTGAATTTGACAAATCTGCAATATGATCTGTGCCAAGTATTGACCTATTCTCTTTTATAAACTCCATCATGACCATTGGCATCAAACTCGTCCGTTCACGCATTTTTTTCTTCTCTTTCTCCAATCAACAGAAATGGTCAATACACTAACTCTTTCTTCCCCAACAGCCCAATCTCTTTTCTGTTTAAATCTCTTTGCCTTTTCAAGTAGAAATTTGTAGACTTGTTTGTGTTTTAATCGATCTGTAAAGCTATTAACCAATAAATGGCAAACAGAATTCAGACATTTTGTTGATTTTTTTTTTTTTTTTTTTTTTATCTGAAAAACTGATATTCTGAAGCTATTTTGATATGCAAATTTTATTTTAACTTTAATTTGGATAAATCTGATTTACTTTTAATTTCCAAAGTCATGTTCTTAAACAGCTTTGTCAGATCGAGACATTCATGTGGATGTCATTCATGGTGCCAAACCCATTCAGAAATATCTAAACTGTCAGTCGTATACAACCGCTTTCTCAAATCAATGATTTAAAATGACTTTGAGCAAGTGAAGTCTGTGGGTCTTGGGAAAGACCATCTTTCGTTGAACCTCGTAGACTGTCACTACAGAATTACAAACAAAACTGTACTAAACAGCAGAAACTGCATTAATTGAAGAATTTCAATAGTGGCAAGAAATAAAATGGATAGCACATGTAGATCAAAAGAGAAAAAATAATAACTTGATATATATATATATATATATATATATATATATATATATATATATATATATAGTTGGATTGATGTGAGTTTGTGACCCTGGGTTTCATGCTTTTGTGATTGTCAGACAAACAGAAACAGGGTTTGTCTGATGATTACAAAAGTGTGAAACCCAGGGTCACAAACTCACATCAATCCAACCAAATATGTTAGCTCTATCTCTGATATTGAACGCTTTCTAATAAGTACAGTGCATATAATATATAAATAATAATATATATAATATATTACACACACACACACACACACACACACATATATATGTATATATACACACACACTTTTCACACACACACACACACATATATATATATATATATATATTTTTTTTTTTTTTCTCAAGAAGTCATGGATGTTACATTCTCGTCATTTTGATTGAGCAATATTAAGAAAAAGATAATTCCAAAAGCGTAGGCATTGCCACTATTAATGCACTACTCTTTATTAATGAATTGATCATTCTGGCTGCTGGCATTTGTATACATTCATATATAACACATTAGAATTTCTCTTTTTCTACTGTGTGCCGATAACTTAGGGGTAGAATCTCCGGCTGATGCCAAATTGGCTAGGTCTTGATCCCAGCTTGAAGCAATTGGATGTCTAGCCACACTGATGAGCTGTGATGCAGCTTTTATATTATATTCTTACTCTGTCCTGGACATAGAGTTCTACCTTGATTCTATCCTCTTGGGAATATATATATATATATATATATATATATATATATATATATATATATGTGTATAGTTCTAATATTATCTATCTATATATATATATATATATATATATATATATATATATAGTTCTATAGTTCTATATTATCTATATATATATATATATATATATATGTGTGTATAGTTCTAATATTATCTATATATATATATATATGTGTGTGTATAGTTCTAATATTATCTATCTATATATATATATATATATATCTAATATAGTTCTAATATATATATATATATATATATATATATATATATAGATAGTTTTAATATTATCTGTCTATATATATATATATAGTTTTAATATTATCTATCTATATATATATATATATATATATATATATATATGTGTCTATATTATATATATAAAGTTTTAATATTATCTATCTCTCTCTCTCTCTCTATATATATATATATATATATATATATATATATATATATATAAAGTTCTCTAATCTATTATCTCTATATATATATTCTAATATATATCTATCTCTAATATATCTCTATATATATATATATATATATATATATATATATATATATATATATATATAGTTCTAATATTATCTATCTATCTATTCATCTATCTATATATATATATATATCTTATTATAAAACGCAGATTGTGTGTGTGTGTCTGTAACTTTTATATATTGGATCGGATTTCTTATATTTTTCAACCGATTTCAACAAAACTTCACAGGACTACATAAAATTACCTTGTGGTGGTTCTAACAGCGCCAATAATGGGAAAAATATAATTGTTTTGCACAAAATCAATTTGAAAACATGATTAAGAGACATCGTGAAAATGGAAGGGGACAACTCACATCGAGTTGTTTGTGTGTGTGGGTTCCTTTAAATATGGGATGGATTTCCTATATTTTCAAATAAAAAAAACTTTTTTTTTTTTTTTTTTTTTTTGGCAGGTAGTGTTTCTTATTCTCTTTACGCACTTTTTTCTTTTATTTTTAACATTCAGAATGCTTTAAAAATTCTATTTACAAGACAATTATTTATAATAAAATTCTATTCAATCGAGACTCATAACGATTGAAAACAATGTTTTTGTTTGAGTTTGACCAATTAAAAAAAAAAAAAAAAAAAAAACTAATTAAGACATGCGTGTCCGTCAACCTTAAACAATAATCTAACGATCTCTACTGATTGTAATGTAATACAAACATCGAATAAATTCTTTATCTTTAGGGAAAGATAATGAAATCTAAACATACACAAGTCCTAACTAAAAATAATAACCGGAACGGGAAACTACTTTAAATACATATGGTGTCCAATTTTTTTACTGTATTCAATAAATAAAAATCATAAATTGTAAAAGATTATTATTACCGAAAGGCTACTAAATGAATAAGATTTGTTAGATCATAATTAATAAAGCCAAATAAAGTTAATATTTTTTGTATTAGAAACAACGAGTGGAAAATATATTCAAATCAGAATTCTAATTATGAATCACCACAAGCAAAATATGCAATTTTTTTTACTGTATTCAATAAGTAAAAATCATAAATTGTAAAACTAAAAGATTACAGAAAGGCTACCTACATTTTTCAACCGATTTCAACAAAACTTCACTTTTTTTTTTTTTTTTTTGGCATGTAGTGTTTCTTATTGTCTTGCACACTTTTTTCTTTATTTTTACATTCAGAATGCTTTAAAAATTCCATTTACAAGACAATTGTTTATAAAATTATTCTATTCAATCGGTAGACTCATAACGATTGAAAACAATGTTTTTGTTTGAGTTTAGGTTTGACCAATTTGTAAAAAAAACCAAAAAAACAAATTAAGACATGCATGTCCGTCAACCTTAAACAATAATCTTTGTCAATTTTATTTTTCAGTCTTTATGATGGTGGATACTTGATCTATCAATTACTGTTATATCCCCGAGCAACGCCGGGCTCTACTGCTAGTATATCTCTCTATATATATATATATAGTTCTAATATTATCTATCTATCTATCTATATATATATATATATATATATATATATATAGTTCTAATATTATCTATCTATCTATCTATCTATATATATATATATATATATATATATATATATATATAGTTCTATATATTATATCATCTATCTATATATATATATATATATATTTTTATTAATCCAATAAATTTTTATCAAACGTTATTTTTAGTGGATACCCCTATTTGAGTAAATGCTCCATTTTATTTTTAAACAGGATATTTATTATTGCCTACCTGCTTGAATATTCAAGAAATCTTATTAACAAAAAATAGCAGAAATAAATTGATCTGACATGCTTCCACCGACTCATCCACAAAGTCTGTTGCTGATCAAGCAAGGCTGAATAAGGCAGTGACATCTTGAGCTAATCTAATTCCTGACATTTATTATTTTGAATTTTTGACACATTCCTTTTGAACAGTAAATTTGGGGAGCATTATGAATAAATAGCCACACATTTTGAAAACTTGCTAAGCATGAAACAATGCCCTTAATGGGTAAATGAAACAAAAAAATTTATTTTTATATGTATTAGAATGTTCTTTTAAAACAATTTACAATAAAGCACTCTTCTATATGTAAGAAAATGAATATACAAATAATATATAGGTATATGAAGTGATATTGGAAATTTAAGAGACTTAGTCCTTGCCAAAAATGTACACCAATGCTTCAGTAAATAATACAGATCGTTTTTGTAATTTTTTTTTTTTTTTTTTTTACTTATGTTCTGGTGCTATATTGAACCCTTATCATCTTGGCCTGATGTTTAAAATGAAACTGAAAAAGTTGTATTTGACCTAAAAAAATAATTTATTTATATGGGCTGTTGAAAGCTTAGAAATGAAACCTGTGGTCTATCATTAACAATTTTGTGATAAGAATTTTTCTTCATTTCCCCAAAGAAGACATGAAAAATGAACTTTATTGGTGATAGTTGAAATAAATTTTAGGTTTCATGCCTTTCCTAAAAGTATTTGCACATAAGAGATTGTAACAAAGCCAACTGGAATTTGAACTCAGTTCTCCGATTTCTCATTCTGAGCCACTATCTGTTACACCATCCACCTATTACAGCATTCAACAAAACCTATAGAAGTGTCATTACAATATATACTATACAGACCAAATTATAAGTGGAACTGTAATCAACAGACGCATTCACTGAAAAAGGCCAAATAATACAGCATATAAAGTATGAAAAACAAAATATACAAAAAAAAGCAACCGATTAAAAGAAATAATTAACAACTAAACAATTTTTTTACTCTTACATTCCACTTTACATGCTATTCCTCAAAAAGAGAGCTCCGAACATGAAGGAAAAAAAAAAACAGTGTGTTTTTTTGGTGGGGTGAGGGTATAGTCTATTTCAATGTTTCAGTCAAATTCTGCATGCCAAGCACTGATTTGCCACCCTTATATTGCACAAAAATTTTTTTTGTTGCTTCATGTTCTGAGCTCTTTTTGAGGAATAACATGTGAAGTGCAATGTCATAATAAAATTGTTTCAGCTGCTTTGGCCATTTAGTTCAGCATTTGTGATGATTGATAATTCTTGAAGTTTGTAGAAATAAAAAAAAAAAATAAAAGCCCTACCAGCATCTTACTTACTATAAAACGCAGATTGTGTGTGTGTGTGTCTGTACGTTTATATATTGGATTGGATTTCCTACTTGCGGTGGTTCTGACAGCGCCAAAAATTGGAAAAACACAATTGTTTTTGCACGAAATCAATTTGAAAACATGATAAAACACGATTCTGTCGCCAGAATGAATGGGGGACAACTCATATCGAGTTATACTTATAAAACCCAGGTTGTGTATGTGTGTTTTCGTTTATATATGGGATCGGACTTCCTACATTTTTCAACCGATTTCAACAAAACTTCACTTTTTTTTGGCAAGTAGTGTTTCTTATTGCCTTGCACACTTTTTTCTTTATTTTTATATTCAGAATACTTTAAAAATTCCATTTACAAGACAATTGTTTGTAATATAATTCTATTCAATCGGTAGACTCATAACGATTGAAAACAATGTTTTTGTTTGAGTTTGACCAATTCATAAAAAAAAACAAAATAAAACTAATTAAGACATGCGTGTCCGTCAACCTTAAACAATAATCTTTGTCAATTTTATTTTTCAGTCTTTATGATGGTCGATACTTGATCTATCTCTTACTGTTACATCCCCGGGCAACGCCGGGCTCTACTTCTAGTCAGAAATAAAGTGAACAATACTGTCCAAAATTTATTTCAACTATCACTAAGAATTTTACTGTTGAATATTTCAGTTCAACTCCTGATCCTTGCTAAATAAATGTTTATATCAAATGTAATCATTCTTGGTTCCATGAATAGTAATTTATCTTTTTGATGAAAGTTTTTGCTTTAAATGTTTTGTTTAGTTATTAATAGGGTTTATCATTTCTTTTAATTGGTTGCATTTTTTTGTGTATTTTTTCCATATTTTATATGCTGTATTATTTGGCCTTTTTCAGTGAATGCATCTGTTGATTACAGTTCCACTTATAATTTGGTCTGTATAGTATATATTGTAATGACACTTCTATAGGTTTCATTAAATGCTGTGTAACAAGTAATGGCTCAGAATGAGAAATCAGAGAACTGACTTTGAATTCCAGTCAGTTTTATTGCATTCATTTACACACAAATACCTTTAGGAAAGGTATGAATCCATCTCCTCCCCTTAGCTATCAATTAATTAGGACATATTTCTTGAAAAGTTATTTTTATTTGCAAAAAATTGTTAATGCAATTCACTTGAAAAAAAAATCTTACAATCCAAAATATGTTCCAACTTTAAATAACCCACAAAGGGTTGATAAGCTGTAAAAAACAAAAACAATCGATTAAATGCTACATTGAGGCTAGTAGAATTGTATCTATCAACTCCCTTTTAGTTTTTGCTTTTACTTTCTGTGCAATATTTTTTCTTGTACAGTCATACCATCTGTACTGTCCTTAGGATCTAAATCATCTTCATGCTATTAATCATGCTGAAAACTGACATAACAAACAGGTTTTTTATTAAAAGAGGAAAAATGGTTTTAAAAAAGGTAAATTCTGGAAGTTAAATTACAAGTTTAAATAGTCTGTATGTCATGATATACTGATGTCTTTTACTCACTTTGCATTTGCAAATGCTCATAAAACCTTTTCAAGGATGTGAGAGAAAGAAAGTGAAATTGAAGTGAGCATGTATAACCAAATTTCAGTAGCTAGGCAACAGGCAACATCTATTCATAGAAATAAACTGCACCAGGTTTCACTTGATGTCAGATCACTTCCTATTTCTAGAAATATGATTATTTACAAACGCTAATTATTATGAAGCCTAGTAATTATTATTCTTAAAAATATGACAGGTATGTCACTATGGCTGACAAAAGAGAGCAGACAGAAAATGATACTGTAATTAGCAGTTAATAGAAGTGTAGTTATCTCTCTTGGACATATTTTCAGTTTATACTTAATTAAATATTATGAAGAAACCAGTGGTCCAGCATAACTGGAAATTCCTTTATTCTCTAAGTTAATGCAATACTGTTAAGTGCTCTAACAAAAACTGTGCTATGATGTGTTGTTTTTTTTTTCCTTTTGCTGTTACAATAACAAGCATACAGAAATAAGATTGTTAACGTAGATTATTAATTTTCTTTCTTTTTTTTTTTTTTTTTTTCCAGAAGCAAGTTTTGCGGTGAAAGCTCGTGCAGTCAAAGATCATTATAACAGTTATGACATTCAGGGCCTTGTCTTTAAAGAAGGTGAAAGCATTAAGGTAAGCAATCCAAATATTAGCAGCAAAATATCTGTTATAACAGTTGTTATTTATGACACAGGCGTCATTATGATTCACTTCTACTAAGAGGACAGGGTATTATCCTAGGCAGTATAGTCAACCATTGTACTTTGTTCTATTGGCAGCCATTATTAAGAATTAACTCAGATTTATATAACAGAATGTAGTTGTTTTTGCAGAAGGTGAACAGGATATATGTGCCTGAGCTTAGTGCTTTGATTGGTTGGAGATAAATTAACCACATTTATCAGAAAAAGCAAGTTGAGTGAGATGAGAAGACAAAAAAAAAACTACAGTGCTGTTTGATAAAAGTGACTCACCTGACTTTTTTACTTAAAAAATTTGTTTCGCCTATTGTTTTTGGGGTCAAACTAATTTTTAATCTTACTAATATAAAGACCCCTTCCTGACCACCTAGTAAAAAAGTTTACTCACCCTAAGGTATTCTATTAATAATTATAATTTTGGATATAAATGAGATTTAGGGAAAAACTCTGTGCAAAAAAAGTGACTCACTTATTACCTGCAACTAGTAATCAATAGAAACATAACCGAACAGCTTTAAATAAAGAATAATAGAAGTATAATTTATTTATAATAGGTAATATAGTTCGTAATATATAATAATCTATGAGTCCTCCTTTATTTTGAATAACTTTTTCAACCCTTTTTGGCATTGACTTGATTAGGTTCTCGCAAATCTCATCTCCAAGCATTGAATTCCATTTGGATATGAAATTCACAATCAAATCCTCTTTGTTGCTCAACTGCTTTCTCGAGAGCCTGTAGTTTATAATGCTTTATAAGTTTTCTATGGGGTTGAGGTCAGGAGATTGGGGCAGCCATGTCATAACACTCACCTGCTTCATCAATTTTGATTTGTGACGGAGCATTATCCTGCATAAAAATGAGCTTAGTGGGGTCGATTTGCACCCTTTCAGCAGAAGGGAGCAGACAAGACTCTAAAATTCTCTTGTACTGCTCACTCCTGAGGGTCTTTTCAATAGGTTTTAAGAAACCAGTTCCATGAAAAGAAAAGCATGCCCAGAACATTATACTGAATGGATGCTTGACAGTACTTACTGCTAAATTCAAAGAGCTTTCAAAGCTTCTTCTTTGGATTTTAGATCGCTTATCCTTTGAATTTAGCTCAACTTTTGTTTCATTGGAGAAGAGAACATTTAGTAAAAAAAATCAGGTGAGTCACTTTTATCGAACAGCACTGTATTTATTTTGGGAGTAATTAAGTTTACTTAGTCTGAATTATAAATACTAGTCTGCATTAGACCAACAGCTACACCTTTTGGTCACCTGACTCAGAAAGGAAAAACCATAAGCTATTATATAACAATGCAGGGAATACACCCCACCCCCTCCCAAGGGGATTTCAAGGTTTCAGTTGGTGGTGATGGGAGGTCTTTTACTTTTTTTACAAATTTCTCATTGACTCTAATCTTCATTAGACTAAAATTGATTTAAATACCCTGATCTTTTATCGACCTTTTTATTTATTTAATTACAACCCCCTAGAATTCTATTGAACTTTTTATTTATTGAAGTATGCTTCAGTTTATTTATTTAATAATTAGTTATGAATTAAAACAAATTTCTGTACATGTATTCAAGTTTAAAAGATCCGTCAACATTTTCTATTGCTATTAAATTTGTATAACTCCTCTATAAAAAAACAAAAACAAAAAACATGTAGATGTAGTTAATATGGAAAAGAATGAAGATTTTCAATATTATATGCATATTATTTGGAATACACTTTTTGGGTTGGAGAATCTTGGAAAATGGAAGAATAACATTCTTGACATATGGTGGAAAAGAGTGCATTGGGCTAAAAAGGTTGAACCATTGATTTAAGGCAAAAAGTACACGTTTGTAAGTTGTGTTATTTTTTTATTTACAGAATTTTGTTTATTGAATTACAATACCCTGGTGTTCTATTTAACTTTTTATTGATTGAAGTATGCTTCAGTTTGTATATTTAATAATTAGTTATGAATTAAAACAAATTTCTGTACATGTATTCAAGTTTAAAAATCTGTCAATATTTTCTATTGCTATTAAATTTGTATAACTCCTCTATAAAAAAAAAAAAAAAAAATCCATGTAGATGTAGTTAATATGGAAAAGAATGAAGATTTTCAATATTATATGTGAAAAGTTGTGTGTGTGTGTGTGTGTGTATATATATATATATATATATATATATATATATATATATATATATATATATAGGATTCACTTTGATTATAATCAACTTTTAATATTTTATATCATATTAATAGGATTTTTATATCATAGATTATATATCAACTGGATTTCCTATATATAAAAATATATATATGCATGCTTTGTGAATCAGTTTTAATATTTTATATCATATTAATAGGATTCACTTAGATTATATATCAACTGGATTTCCTATATATATAAAAATATATATATGCATGCTTTGTGAATCAGTTTTAATATTTTATATCATATTAATAGGATTCACTTAGATTATATATCAACTGGATTTCCTATATATATAAAAATATATATATGCATGCTTTGTGAATCAGTTTTAATATTTTATATCATATTAATAGGATTCACTTAGATTATATATCAACTGGATTTCCTATATATATAAAAATAATAACTACCCTCCTAATGAAAGACTAAACTGCAACAATATTAAAAATGTTATTCTCATAAACTAAAGCAGGGGTTCTCAAATGGGATTACCCACAGGGTGGATTTAAGTGTCACAGAGGTGGGAAAAGAATCTTTTACTTTGTTTTTTTTTTTTATTTACAGAATTTTGTTTATTGAATTGCAATCCCCTGGTGTTCTATTGAACTTTTGGTTTCTTGAAGTCTGCTTCAGTTTATTTATTTAATAATTAGTTATGAATTAAAACAAATTATTGTACATGTATTCAAGTTTAAAAATTCATCAACATTTTCTATTGCTATTAAATTTGTATAACTCCTCTATAAAAATAATCCATGTAAATTTTTTTTTTAAACAGTTTCACCCCATACAAGGCAGTAAAGCCACTAAGACACAAAGGGTTACAGGGTGTGGAAAAATTAAGAACAGAAACATTAATAATGAGTGGGAAGAGGAAAGAGTAATCAGAAGGCCAGTAGATAGCGATTAACATTGCATTTAAATGTTTACAGATTAAAGTTGGTTGGAAAGCATGCAGACGGAAGGGAGTTCCACAAGTAAAAAGTGGAAGGAGAAAAAAAAACTGTTAGCATGGAGCTTACAGCTACATCTAGCCAGCTCAACTGTCAATCGATGAGATCTTGATACTGCAATCTAATACTGCACATAGATTTAAAAAAGTCCGAGTACCATAGTGAAAAGTTCATCCAAACAATTACGATGAAAATATTTCTAGAAAAGGCAGAGAGAGGCAACCTTATGGCAGAGGGAAAATGACTGAAGCTGATGTAATAAGATTTTCAATAATATATGCATATTATTTGGAATGTACCTTTTGAGTTGAACAGTCTTGGAAAGCAGGGGAATGAAAAGACTAAATAGTCTCAGAACCACTGACTTAACGCATAAGCAAAAACAAATTCAAAGAGTGTTATATAGGAACAAAGTGTCGCTGCCAACACTTGAGTTTGAACATAGATCACCAGTGTGTAAACACAGGTGACCCCATTAATGAATTAAGTAGACCATGTGACCATAGAGGAAACACTTAAGTAGGAAGTTGTGTGACATCTAAACGATCTGCATTTCTAGTCTATCCTCTATCACTATTTGGATCACTATTTCTAGTCTATCCTCTATACTATATGGATTGCTATTCTCTACTCTATTCACTATACTATTTCTTTTTTCGGATTACTATTCAAGTGAGTATTATCGAGCAAGTACTATTAGTGCAAGTGCTATTCAAAGGTGTCTGACACCTATATTGTTAAATGGTGTACTATAGTTGTGTCTGCGATTACAAAGTCTCTACTACAATGAGAATTCTGAAAGTGACAATGATTATTCGTTGACATCACAAAAAAGAGAATCAGTTATTAACATTCAAGATTTGAGTTTGCTAATAGTTTTATATAATATAATAGTTTGCGTTAGTACGATGAATGACAAAACGACGAAATTTCCCCCACCACTTCCACAATAACACCAATACACGCAATCTACATAAACCCAAATTTTTTAAAACATTAATCAGTTTGTCTGACGATTGCTAAAGCGTGAAACCCAGGGTCACAAACTCACATCTATCCAACCAAATATATTTATATATATATATATATATAGAAGGTGTTGTGAAATATTAATAATATTTACATGACTTTGGAGCTTGTTAATTCAGTTTATTATTATATATATTCATCAGTGGATGTTTGGACATAAGCAATCATGGTTCTCCACATCTTTACCCTCCCCTTGTAGCTATAGGTAACTTTTGACTCTTTACCATCCCTACTTGTCCTTACCTAACCATCCAGTCACACAAACTTGTGAAATAGTTTTCCTTTGTCTCAATTGCCTTCAAAATATTTTGTGAATGTCAAATTCTCCAAACCCTCCTTCCTCATTGTGCTCCAGAAATTTCAACTCTCTCTTTCCGATTATAAATATGAGTATCCTTTTCATTCCTTAAAACTTCCTCATTTTGCACACGTTCCATCCATGGTATTGTCAGAATCCATTGGTAGGAGTACCATGTTTCTGTTGTCTCCTCTTTGTTTGTGAAGAAATTTCTGGCATTCACTGCCATATAAGTTTATAGATTTTATAGAATAGGTCAGCACATTTTTGTTTTAATGATATTTTCCACTGTCTTAATACTTTGTTTAGTTTCTGGAAAGTACTTTTTGCTATTTCTATCTTTCTACAAATTTCTGTCACATTTTGTGCTGTAAGGAAATAAAAAGGACACTTGAACTTAGTCAAAAAGAGACAATTGAAATTTCTAGGGCACATAATGACGAAAGAAGGTTTGGTGAATTTGACTCTCACAGGACATTGATGGAAAGAAAAACCTGTGGAAAGCCATTAATAACCTATCTAACTAGCTTGTGAAGATGGGATTAGAAGAGATAGCAAAAAGAACAACCTTACTAAGAGCTATAAAGCGCAGGAAGTTGTAGAGAGCCATAAACTCCCATGTACTGAAACAACATGGCACATAGAAGTTACGAAAGTACTCAGTTAAATTTCTCTCCCTGCTTGATTTTGATATCTCCAATATGTAGCTCACACCTTTGGCTGACGACCATAGATTCTGTCTTTTATTTATTTGATAGTCCTTTCTTCTCACTTTCCTTACAACACTACTGAGACAGTTAAATGTCTGTCCCAGCTTGATTTTGATGTCCCCAATGTGTAGTTCACACCTTCGGCTGTCTCTTTTGCTGACAACCATAGATTCTGTCTTTTTACAGTTGATAGTCCTTTCTTCTCACTCTCCTTTACAATTTTGTCTAAGAGATCTTTCAACTTTCCTTCTGAATCTGTTATTGATATTGTGTCATCTGCGTATCATGTGTCAGTGAAATTGAACTAACGAAAACAGGATGAGAAGACTCATCCAAATCCCTTGCAGAATGATTAATCTCCAACTTTCTGAATGATATTTGGATTTACTTATGCATGATGTCTCGGATATTAACTCTGTATTGATAGATACCTTCCAAAAGGCTTGAATTAAATCCTAACAACTAACAATCCCCTTTTCCTGATTTTTCAATGCATTTCAATAGTGAAATCATTAGCCCTATTCTCTCAGTAATGCTTACATTAATTCCTGACCATTGACAATCCCTTTCTTTCTGATTTTCAATACATTCCTAACAAGCCACAGAAATTTGCCTCAGGACTTGTTACAATAAACACAGGCGAAACACCTCACATGAGAAAATAAAATTAAAGAAATTGTTTCCGATTTGATTTATTGCCTATGATAATGTCTTTAGGGAAAGGCATGAACACCAAATTTCCCTGCAACCTTTGAAAAGTTTTTGGTTTTATATTAAATCTCTGATTTTATTTATCTACTTAATTTTGTTATTCATTCACAGTTTTTTTTTCCTTCTCACCTTAATTTCCTTCATTTTCTCTTTTCTGCATTCCCAGAGGTTTTTTTCCTCACATTCTTTTTTCATTCATTTTTTTTTTTTTCGCCTTCTCTTTTTTCCATCCAGAGTTTTCTTTCTCTTTGTCTTTTCTCCTTTTTCTCTTCCCTTTTCTCCGTTTTCCTTTTCTTCTTTTTCCATTCCTGCTTTTTTACTTTTTTTGAACTTTCTGTCCTTCATTTCCTCTTTTATTCAAATTTTCATTCATGTCTATCTTCTTTCACTTGCTCATCAATTCTTATAATGCAATGTATGCGTACTCTCACTGCTTGGAGAGAGAGTGGGAAGGAAAGAATGAGTTCAATACAAGTTAATGAACGAGTAATGAAGGAAAAAAATAAATTGTGAAGAAGAAAAAAAAATTATTTGTGACTTGCTAGTTGGAATGTATTCCACGTCTAAAAGATGAAGAAAATGGTTAATGAAGAATTGTAGAATTTGAATTAATATCCGCCTACCATTTTTCCCAAAATAAATCTTTTTTTTAATTTTATTCTTAATATTGGCCTTAGAGTTAAATATGAAAGTTGTGTGTCTGTATATATTCTTATCTACCTGTAAGGATAGTGTATGTTTGCGTACACAAAATTTCCAGGTAGCTGGAAAAATGCAAATGTAGTAAAAGGTGCTGAAAAGTAGCCATGCCGCTTCACTTCCCTAATGACCAAGTTTCTTCTTTTTTTTTTTTTTTTTTTTTTTATCCCTTTTGGTTCTGGCTAGAATCTTTTGGCACTAGTATACATAATATACTTATGCAGGAAGAATTTATTTATTTTTATTGAAATTGACCGACAAGGTTTGTTTGTTATATTTTTCATTACATTTGCACATAGGGATCAAATTCATGTAGAAACTGCCCAAAATTCATCTTTTTTTTTCTTATTTGCTTCCTTTCTGCTATTTCCTGTTATCATGGTAATCAGTTACTGTATGAAAAGTGTGTGTGTCTGTGTGTGAAGTCAAATCGGCTACAACTGAGAAAAAAAAGCAAAAAGAGAGAAAAGAAAAAAAAAAACAATAAGGAGTGAATGTAAAATAAAAAAAAAAAATATCGAAAAGGACAAATAACCACAACATTCTGTACATACAGGCACATGGCCACGAATGCACATATATAGTATGAAAAAAGATTTGCAACAATGAAAAGTGCATATAAAAAATTTTTCTAATTGAGAAGTATAAGCAGTCAATTGCTGATACCCCCTGATGAGTGGAAGGAGTGATTTTCAGAGGGTCTTTCTATGGAATTCTGGAGTCAGAATCTTGAAGATAACATCAATCAGCTAAGTGACAAACCTTTTATTTGTAAAAGTAATATGTGTGTGTGTGTGTGTGTGTATATATATATATATATATATATATATATATATATATATAAATATATAATGGAAAAAAAACAAAAATTCTAATATGCAATTATGCTGTTTTAATGTTAATATAATGTCAACGTTTGATGTTTCGGCCTAGTAGACCATCTTATATTTTTCTTCATACTGTCAGATCTATATCCATATATTTTCTTATATATATATACACACACACACACACATGTGCACAATAGCTGGTTACGCATTTCTGAACATACCTGCCTGCTCGGACAACTAACCAACTCCTTTTGGAGATGCCTGAGGTTTCTACTGCAACTGTGCTGAACAGAACTTAGTTACAGTTTCTGGGAGAGAGTGAATAATCTGGTGTGTTCACCAGTTTGAACAAGGTCAGGAAGTACACTGGCTTGTCCAGTTTTACTCACAAGGCTTGTTTCAATCTGTGGTATAGCTTTCAGGAGCTTTCAAACAGTGTCCCATGTTCAGATCTCCTCCCCTAGGGCAATAACATCCACAAATCATCTTCCTGACAAATCAACCTTTGTGGTGAGATTCACATCATCACTTTAGTGTGTGTGTGTGTATATATATATATATATATATATATACACACACACACAATAGTGTACCCATGCTGTTAAAAGTAACGGCAAGAAGGAATTTATTATAAGTAATATGTATTATATTGTAAGTAATTTTTGTTTAATCCAAGTACAATTTTGTAATTTAAAATAGTTTGCTGTTAATGTTAATAATTGAAGTGTGTACAATGTATAAACATCTCAGGAAAGATATCTGTATTTTATTCTCATTATGTGTGTTGTTCGCATGCATGCATAGTTTTTGTAGGTACACATTTGTGACACACCTTGGATGCTTTTGAGAGTCAAATTTGCCGAGAAATTAGAATATCATCACTAGCAATATTCGATCCCACAAGCTAAGACACTGCAAAGAAAACTAACTTTATGTGAAGCTGAAATAAAATATAAACCTCAACCAAGTTTTGTCTGACATATCTTTATCTCCTCTCTCTATTCCTTTCTATTTCCCCCTCTCTCTTTTTTCTTTGCAGTTGTGTATCTGTTTCTTTTTGTGGCTACTTTCCATCACTCCTTTCGCTTTGATCATAGTTCACAGAGAGAGGGAAAAAAGGGGGTTGCTTTGTAGTTTGTCAGCGCAGTAGCTTTTTTGCATGTGGATGTGAATGTAGTCATGACTTCTGTGCACACTGCCTCAATTGTTACACAAAAAAATATATATATATATATATATATATATATATATATATATATATATATATATATATATATATATGGTGTATTATATTTAAGGATATATGATATGATCTCACCAGGTGTTGATTTGTCAGGAAGGTCATTTCTTAATGTTATTGCCCTAGGAAAGTTATGCCAGCATGTGACACCGTTTGAAAGTGCTAGAAAGCTATACCACAGGCTGAACCAAGCCTTGTGAATGAAATTGACTCAATGGAACTGTTCAGAAGCTGTCAATGATTGTCTTAGCATGAAGTCACAATTCATTGTGACCAAGGGTTTGAGTGTATTAGCCTTTTTCAAACATATGATAATACTAGATTATTCACTCAGCATAGTTAGAGTATAAGCCACAGGTGGCTTCTGTAGGTGTTGAACAAATACAAATGTGCCTGAGCAGGCATCTCCAACAGGGATTGGTTAGTTGCCCTAGCAGACAGGTGTAGTCAGAAACTATAGTCTAGCTGATTTCATTTAGTTTCTTTTTCTTCATGTTTTTATCAGTTTTGTTATTAAATATCCCACATTGTAAGAATAGATCTGACAAGATAGGTGAAATGATGTAAGAACCTGCACATACATTTACTGCAGTTGATCTAGTGATTAAAGCACTTTCTATACATTTATGTCTTGGTAAATTGCTTTCACTTTTAATTAAAATAGCATTTTTTAAATCAAAATTCCTAAAGTTGTTCTCAATATATAAAAATTTATATATCGTTTTTCCCTATAAATAAATTTATATATCGTTTTTCCCTATAAATTTTTCCCTATAAATTTCTATTTATTTTTAGAACAATGTTGGGCAAATGAATGACAGTGAAAAAATTCTTTGTAGGGGACAAAATGCATTTAAGTATAGATAAAGATAAAATTATAGTTTTGAAGTATGTTATATTTATCGGTTAAAATGCTCAATATCAGGGGTAGTGTATGTAAATATAAAAGTGGACACTAAGGTCAAAACTGAGTAGTAACAGTCTGTTTCATGTTTGAGCACACTCTACAGACCATGTGTGATGTGTTTTGGCTCGACTATTTATATATGCTGGTCAATGGTGCATTATGGGTAGCAGTGACCAGGTAGGCAGTAATGGTTATCTTTCAAATTATTCTAGATGTTATTGAGTAGGAATAATCGTGGATCTGAATGCAGTTATTTGTAGCTATTTTATAGTGTTAACTTTTTACTTATTATATATATTATTAAGGTAAGCTATATTTATGGGTAAAAGTTGCTCAATATCAGAGATAGAGCGTATGTAAATATAAAAATAGGCAGTAATAGTTATGTTTCAAATTATTCTAGAGGCTATTTGGTAGAAATAATTGTGTATCTGAATGCAGTTATTTGTAACTATTTTACAATGCTTGTTAAATTTTACTCATTATGAGTGATTACTTAATTATTTGTTCTTTATTATATTTACTTGTGAGAATTTAGGGTTTGTTAATTTGTTTATTATTTACTTAATTTATTATTTTTTGTTTATAATTATTATTTCCAGAGTTTGGTAATCTTATTTGTTTGGTTTAAAGTATATGCTTTGTCTAAAGTATATTACATTATATATGTCTGTCTGTGTGTGTGTGTGTGTGTGTGTATATTTGTATCTTTCATGGTGGTATTTTACAAGTATTCATTTTTAGTTTTCAATTTTTAAGTAACATAATAAAAATTTGTTTTTGCATTTGACATAAGTTCCGATTGTTTTAGCAATTTGTTGGTCTGAGACAGTTGTTCTCAAACTTTTTGAAGTCAGGACGAACTTGAAATCCTATCAATAATTAGTAGGCATATTATATACAAATTTCAGAAAAATATGTTATAATGAAGTCAAATATTGCAGAAAATAAATAATGCAATAAAAAATATAAAATAAAACATACCTTAAGTTTATTAATTCTTTTGTTTATGAGAAACATGAGCCTGGTGTGAGTCTTAGCAATTTCTTCAATGTTGGGGTGTATTTGATAGGCAAACTCTCATTTCCTCATCAATACATTGAAGAGTTCCTCTCTTTTTGCACTTAATTCTGGTGAGAGCAGAAAAACCTAATTCATATAAATATGAACAAGACGGGTACCAGAATATAATAAAGTAAATATATTTATTTCTTATATCTGGACACATATTTCTCTGAAATGCCAGGGAGCACCTAAACATTTTCCAGGGCGTACCATTTGAGAACCACTGGTCTGAGAACATGTTTCTAGCTATTTTCTCCTCCAGACTAAGTTTACAGTTTTTGGATTAATTCATTTACCATATATATATATATATATATATATATATATATATAGGCAGCATATCTTCACTCAAACATGTTTCATTGAATAATATAGATATACTATCCAAATTACCTGTGTCTTGCTGCATGTCACACATTTTTGTAAGAAAATGATGATTTTAAATCACTGTTGTATTTTGTGGAGAAAAATGATGCATTTCAATATTACTCAACGTTCTTGCTGATATGACCTCTATCTTCTGGCTTTCTCCTTCTATATTTTGGATAGGCATCATTTCCTTGTTCAAATTTAAATTTAATTTAAATCGATGGAAAAAAATATATTGATATGTATTTGATGCAATACTTGATTGAATGAATTGATGAGCAAATTTCAGCATTAATATGATAGTT